CAAAATATGAAGCTATTGTTTCTCAACATAGCCTCCATCTAAATCTATACTGATCTTAGGGAAAATTGACAAAACAACTTGGTTTTCCATTCAACAGTTCATGCAGATTTTTTCGGTAACACTGATTATGATGTAACACAGTTTTAACAGCGCTCTTGTCACTGCCTCCCAGTGTGTACCATTTTCTTCCTCCTCTTTTCCTAGCCCTTCCTCCTTCTGAGCTCTATCCTTGGGCAAATCCTGCCCTGTTGATCTTGTATGCTTCGCTGTTCTAATGAATACAGACTTCCTGGTGTTATGGTTTTGCCTTATAGGCTCTGTCACAACTTTTAGTGGCAATTCTTGTTGAGTTTCCATCTCTAACAGGTTTCTGCCTTCCACAGGTCTGGCGTTTGAAGGCCTCACTGTAGATGTACATCATTGTATGAAGGAGCCCTGGTGACACAGTGGCTCTGCGGAAGAAAGCTATGACCGTCTGCTGCCCCAAAGATGTACAGGCCTCATGGGGCGGGTTCTACTGTGTCCTACAACGCTGTTAGGAGCCAGAATTGACTTGCTGGTGAAGGGAGCATAGTGTGTGCATAGTGCTCATGTGCATATTCATATATATGTATATATTATTGTTAACATTGTCTACAAATGTATTGCTTTACTTGTAAATCTAAAAACAAGTTGTAAAGCATAACTTGCTGGGGACATGCTTGTAATTTTTAACAAGATTAAGTCACAACAATATATGCACCTGCTTTTAAAACACCAAATAGTTTAGAAGGGTATGTCATGAAGTCTCACCATCTCTTGCCCTCTCTCCCCACCTCCAGCTGCATTTCTCAGATGCAATTTCTCTAAGTTGTTTCCCCTTAATTGGTCTAGTGATTGATTCCACATTTCTGAATATGTTTGTACTTCTGCTTCTTGGTCAATTTTGAACAGCCCCACTGCCTTTCTACAAGCCTGGGTGAGAAGTTGGTTGATTTAGGCCACCCCACATTCCTCCTTCTCCCAGAATAATTGTACTGCCACCTCTGTCCTCCTGTCAATTATCCCACCCCTTCTCAGTGTAACTGTGGACTCGTTCAGAGCTCGAAACAATATACTTCTTATAACTATAACCTTTCCTTGAAAGTTAATTATTTTTTCTTTGGGAAGCATTAAGGATTCCTGTGCCCTAAGTATGCTAAAATTTCACAATGGTGAACTCATTTAGTATGAATTAAAAAAAAAATTGTTCTGTAATTTACTGGAGGAAGTGGCCCCTTTTGATTTGAAGGTTGCTCCCCTCTACTCAAGAGATGCTCATCTATAGTTTGATAATGTTTTTTTTTCTTCTTTGACCTTTCTTTCTGGAACGTCTGTTAATTGCATAATGACGCTCCCCGACCTCTCTTATTCTTTCACTCAAGATTGCCTGGACCCTTTCTGTGAAATTCGAAAGATCTTTTTTAAAAAAAACCTTTTCCTTCTAACCATGCTGTTGAATTTTTTCAGCAACTGAGAGTCTTTTTCCCTGTACATTTTTGTGCATTATTTTCTGGTCTCGTGTTAAAATCTTTATGATTCTCATCAGAGTTTTTCCATTTTTAAGAAGTGCATATTATTCCATCTAAATGGCGCCAACTTCCATGAACAAGTGGTCCATAAAATATTTCTTTCCTGCACACCAGCCTATGCAACCACGAGGTGTCGAAGGGATCAGGTGTAAGGCATCATCAGAACAAAAAATCTTACCATAGTGAATG